TCAAATTTCCCATAATACTTTTTTAAAAAAAAAAAAGTTTTAATTTTCTTTAACGTATTATTTAGTTCAGTAAGTTTTAATTAATAATAGGGGAGGGGGGTTTCAAATTCGAAAATTGTTAAATTTCTAAATTATTCCCTATATAAAAAAGGATTGTAAAATATTACATGACAAAACTTTCCCTTGAATAATCCAGAAAAAAATTTGTGGAAAATTTAAAATGAATTCTTAATTTCGTTATCTTCTAACAATTTTCTTTACGTTCACATATTTTTAATTCGATTATATGGCTTATAAATCAATAATCATATTTTTTCAATATCCATACGTGTATATAAATATAAACTTACTGTGGTGTGTATGTGTGCGTGTGTGTGTGTGTGTGTGTATATCCTAAATAGATGAAAACATACGAGTTTTATCTTCATGTTCAGCCAACCACTTCCTTATTATTTTTAATCAGTGTTGTGTGCAGTACTGCATAAACCAGCTTGTTTTAACATCGTCATTTTATTGTTCAGTTTAGAGTTTCATACAACTAAAAAAAAGGAAAAAAAGATTATTGTTAAAATTTTTCTAGATCCTACAGGATTTTTTTAAAAAAATTTTGTAAGTTTATTTATATAATTATTATTAAATCTTATTATTATTCTTTGTTTTCGATTAAATATTAATCTTCAATAATGTGAATCACTATATACTAACACTTATATTATTATTATTATTACTAATTATTTATTTATTATATATATAAAAATTTTCAAATTAAATTTATTATTTTTTACACACTTTTTACATGTTTCAACAAACTTATTGTTCTTTATTTTATTAAATAAGTCGTTATTTTTTATTCCATTGAAAATTTATCAAAATGTTTCTTCACTATAATTTAATATAAATCGTGTTATTAAAAATTAATTACTCTTATTAATAAATAGTAAATAATATACATAACGACTTGATAAACTTTTTTTTTTCTTATTAAAAAAAAGAGTCATTTTAAAAACTATTAGACTAAATAATTTAAAAAAAAAAAAAAGTTATTATTATTCGTAATTATGTATGTTATCAAAAAAAAAAAAATAACTAACTAAAATGATTTATTTCTTCCTTCCTACGTAACATAATAAAACATTTAAAAAATTATCATTATTATTTATTATTTATTTATTTTTTTTCTCTTGTCGTTAAACGTAACGACGTTTTCCAATTTAAATTAAATATTTATATATTATTAAAATCAATCACGTTTTTTTTTTTTTTAAATATTTCCTAACAGTGAAAAAAAAAATTCATTATTATTATTATTATTGTAGTAGTATCCTTGATTTAAAAAAAAAAAAAAAAAAAAATTCGATTGAAATTAATTTTCAATTAAATAAATAAATAAATAAAAATGGATGAATGAATGTATTTTATTTTACCTTGAATTTTTTAAATCCATTTCATTCATTTTCAATTTTTTCTTTTTTTTTTTTTTTTTTCCGTACCAGGAAATTAAATTTTTCATCGAATTTGAGTATGTGCTATCTAAAACCACGTACCTAAAAATAAAGAATATATAATTATTTAGGTACAACAACAGGTGTAAGGGATATTTGGTTCAATGGTTTCCCTTAACACATCCTTTTTAAAATCTTTATATATTTGCACTTATAAAAATTTTCTTTTTTTTTTTTTTTTTTTAGATTTTTTATAAAAAATCAGAAAACGAAACAAAAACAGTTCAATGATTTAAAAATTTTTTTAAAAAAAATGGATTTAGAAAGAGAATTTATGTATAAAACAAAAGACAACGTTAAAATGTCTGGATTTTTAGAAAAAAAAGGAAAAATGGTAAGTAAATAATTAATTAATAAATATTACATTATGATTAATTATTTTTCACTTAATGAATATTTCGTAATATGTTGTTAATTAATTAATTATATAAGTTTTATATACAACTTTTACTTATTATTATTTAAATTTTTTTTTTTTATTTATTCAAAACAATCGTAAAGCATAAACTTGAACAGTGAGGGGGCTACGAAAGTATTTAAATTTTAAATTTTTTTTTTTTTTTTAAATTAAATTATTTGGTTCGTATAGTGCTGGAAAGAAGTATTGTGATTTTTTTTTAGAAATTAATGTCTTCCTGGAGAAAATATTGGTTCGTATTGGAAAAAAGACTTTTGCTATACTACAAATCAAAATTAGAATATACGAATTTATCACCCTGTCGTGGATCTCTCAACATGGGATTGGTGACGACAGTTCGTCCAGGTTCATCATCAGGTCCATGTATAATTCACATAGTTACAAGAACACAATCCGTTCAATTGGTAAATAATAATAATATATTTCGTAATTTATTTTTTTTTTTTTTTATATTAAAATTTCATAATTTTAACGAAAGGACGCACACTTGAATGATTTATAAAATTATTAGTTTCCACATAGTATGGCAAACAAATATTTCGAATAACCCATTTTTCTTTCTTTCCGTGAGAATATAATTTAATTACAATTGAAATTTTTACTGATTATTTACCACCATTAAATAAAAATGAGAAAAATTTTTTTTTGCATTTTTCAGAGAGCAAAAAATAGAGCTTGTCAAGAGGAATGGTTACAAGCATTGTTACATTCTATGGCACTTCCTTTGTTTCCAAAAATAATAAAAAGTCCATCATCGAAACAATTTAATTTTCTAGGGGGTTGTACGACATCACTCGATAACATTTCTTTAAATAATAATAATAATAATAATTGGAGAAATTTTGGAGACGAATGGACATTACCAAGAAAATTAAATTATAGTAAAAGATCACAAATGATGAGTGGATCTTATTATGGTGGAAGTTTAGACACAGCCATTTGGACGAAAAAATTTAAATCTTTACAATCGTCAAACGTGAGAAATCATAATAAAAAAATGGAGAAATTATTAATATTTCCAAAAGAAATAAATTACGAAGATTTCATGATGTCCTCGCAAAGAGACATACACAATTACAATAATAATAATGAAAATCAAATGAAATTCTTATGTAAAAATGATTATTATGGATTTGATGACGAAATTAGAGAAGTGACAAACGAAGCAGAAAAAAAATGTAAAATACATTATTATTATTATTATGAGAATGATGATGAGAATGAGAATGAGAATGATGATGATGATATTAATAAAAAAAATTATAATCCTTCAGCAGATTTTATTTACGGGTTTAGCAATAAAAATAAAAAAAGACTGTTAAAAACGTTTAGCGATAATCAATTAGTCAAAACGGATTCTATAAAAAATTTTAATGTAAATAAAAAAATGAATCATAAAAAAGATTTTGAAAATCATTTTGGTCATATTAAAAATGTACTTAGCAGAACGCAAAAAGAGAAAAGTGAAAAAAAACTCTCAACTCTTGGGGCTCCTGTTAAAAAAAGAAGGCAGAGTTTTTTACAAAAAGTTTTCAAAATGAAAAATAATAATAATAATATTATTGATAATGACATACAAATTCCAAATGAAAAATCATTGGATGTTACTGTTGATAATGATGAAAAAGATGAAGTTGGTGAAGTTTTAATTGATTTTAAAAATGAAAATGAAGAAGAGGAATGCATGAATGAAACGGTTAAAGAAACAATTGAGAATGAAAAAAATCAACATGGCGGCGATAAAAAGTTTAAGGGAGATGTTAAAAAAAATTTGGCGGGTTCGAAAACTATATTACCAGATTCTGCATTGGAAGAATTGAAAATGAAATTAAAAACGAGAGATAGTTTAGAAAAACAAGAAATAGAATTTATAAACGATGAAAATTTTAATATTACCGATAATTTTAAACCTCCATCCCTTCCTCCGAGACGAGTTTCAAGGCCGGTCTCACCCTGGCACGACGTTCCTTCCAATAATGCACCGATTTATAGCGAAAAAAAACAATTTTTTTCACATCAAGCAACTGTTAAATTTAAAGACACGAACACTTCACAAAATCTCGAAATAACCGAATGTAACAAACACGGAAAAATTAATCACGAAGAAAATTGTTCTAGAACAAACGTAACGAATTCTTGTGAAGATTCGACTGTGAAATCACAGCCTTTGAATACAGTGGAAAAAGAAAGAAACGAAGACGATTTGTCAACGCTGTTGGAGCAATTGACAAAAATAACTGTGGCGCCATTGGCCGAACCTGAATTTTCTGACCGCAGCTCATCACCCGAATTAAATAAATATAATGGGAAAAATTTCAATTTCGATCCGGATTATGATATTCCAAGACCGCACAGGCCATTTAATTTAAAAGTGTCAAATGAATATATTGAAAAAGAGAACGACATAAAAGCTTCGCACTTTTTAAGCATCGAACCGGATTCATTGGAAATAGAAGAAATGTAACGGAAAAATTATGTTAATTTTTAACGTATAAGAGATTATCTTGCAAATTAATTAATAAACGTAATGTAAGCAAAATATAAATTTTAAAATATATATTAAAAATAACAACGTGTTATTTATTATGTGAATTAAAATCCTTTTTTGCAAATTCATCAAGGAATGAAATAACGGAAAATGTAATAAATAAAAAAGAACAAAAATTACATTTTGTTAATAATAATTTTAAATTTACATTATTTTCTATGTTTTTTTTTAAATTTCATTTTAGATTTACCCTTTAAACGTTTTCTAACTCCTCTCGATTCTTCCGTATCATCATTATCATCTGTTTTTCTTTTGATTCCTTTTTTACCTTTCATTTCAGATATATGTTTCATTTCCATTTTACTATTTCTCTGAGCTTCTGCAACTCTTTCTTGTAAAGTCATAACTTCATCTTCTTCTATTTTAAACAATGGAAGTTTTTTACCAATTAATTGTTCTATCCTTTGGTAAAGTTCGACATCATACTAAAATCATTCATATTCATCATTTTATTCTTTTTTTAAGAATTAAATATTAATAAAAAAAAAATAATTTAAACATACTTGGGTAACAAATGTTATGGCTTTTCCAGATCTACCTGCTCTGGCAGTTCTTCCGACTCTGTGTATGTAATCTTTACTGTGAGTAGGTATGTCAAAATTTATAACGACATCAACATGAGGAATATCTAATCCTCTCGATGCGACATCAGTAGATATTAAAATGGATCTATTTTTGGCTCTAAATTTAGTTAAGGCACCCAATCTTTTATTTTGAGACATTTGACCATGTAGAGGTATAGCTGTAAAACCTAATTGCCTAAGTAGGAGAGCAGTCCTTAATGTATTATGACAAGTTCCACAAAATATCATGAATGTATTACCAGCCATTTCATTTATAATCGAAACTAAGTACACATCCTACGAGTAGTTAAAATTAAATTAATTCAAAAAATTTTTATACTCTAATAAATAAAGTAAAAGAGAATAAATGAATGTACCTTAAATTTTACAGGAATGAATAAATAATATTGCTGTAATTTATCAACTGTTTGATATTTACTAGACACTTCAACTTTAACAGGATCATGTAGAGAGGCCCTTTGAAGTTTTTGAACTTTTTGCGTCATCGTGGCAGAAAATAAAAGAGTTCTTCTTTCCCTTGGTATGACTTTTAATATTTTATCAACTTCTACTTCGAAATCCATATTTAAAATTCTATCCGCCTCATCCATTACTAAGAATTTAAGAGCTTTTAAATTAAATCCTTTTGTGTTTTCTAAATGATCTACAAGTCTGCCAGGTGTTGCTATAATTACATGTGGTTTTTTAGCGAGTAGTAATGCTTGAGACATCATGTCCATTCCTCCGACTATTACAGCAGTTTTAACACCAATTTTAGATCCTGTCGGAAAAATAAATTATTATTATACTGCAATTACAAAAAAATAAAACAAATCCAGTCGATTTATATACCTAACGCCTGAAATTGTTCAGAGATTTGAAAAGCAAGTTCTCTTGTTGGAGTTAAAATCAATGCAAAATATCTTTGTGGATTTTGAAGCAAAGCTTGTAATATGGGTAATGCAAAAGCTCCAGTTTTTCCAGATCCAGTTTCTGCAAGGCCGATGACATCTCTTCCTTGAAGAGTTAATGGTATTGCTTCTTTTTGAATTTTTGTAGGCGCCTTCCATTTTAAACTTTCACAAGTTTGACACAAAACATCAACAATTCCCTGTAAAAATAAATTTAATGAAAATGAATTTAGGAATAAAATAAGTAAAATTTCTTTTGAATAACTAAAATAAAGTAAACCACGTGTTGTGGTGTAGACAAGCACATAAAAAACCCAACACTAACCAAGTCTTTAAACGTAACCACTTTGTCATCTTCTTCGTTTAAATTCTCTCCTTCAACATTACCATTTTCGCAATCGGACATTGTTAACGTATTTAAAATCGTATAAATTTTTTTTTTTTTAATAAACTATAAATTAATTATTAAAATTATTTAATAATAATATAAAATAAATCTTTAGTTCATCAGCTGATCAGTTTAGTCTTTGTTTTCTGAAATAATGATTCTGCGCACCATTTATTTCAAGTAACTGAATACAAACGCATCAATATTTATTTGGATTTTTTTTTAACTGTAATAAAAAATATTATTTGTAATTGATTTGATTAAAAAAAAAATACGTTTGAAACCTTATTGATTTTTAATGGAGTCAAATAAAAATTTTCTTTCATAATTTACGGTTAGTAATAGGTCTATATTACGGAAATCAATTATTCTTTTCAATGTTATGCGGTTCATCAGAACAGACGGAAGACATCTTGAAAGTGAACAAAGCTTTACCTGCGAAGATTATTAAAGTTAAAGTTTATTAGAATATTTTCAAGTTGTGTTTCAAATTTGATCATTTAGACTATGTACGGATTATTAGTCCAAATACTTACATAGCCATGGCTGCAACAAGGAAGCTGCAAGGTAATCAATTTTTTATAATGAAAACATTTTTTGTTCTATTATCCGACCTGTTTACCAAAATTTTTAATGTTTGTTTTACAATTAATTTTTCGTTGAAAGTAAAGTAAATCATTTATACTAAAAACTCGATAATAATAAATAATTATTTTAATTTTTTTTCTCACGCTCATAGTATTAATTTCAATTTTTAAGTATTTTTGTTTAGGTCAATTCATATATTGATGTTGGCAGCAAGCAGACATTGATCGAACGGTTCTTTTTATATATATATATATATATTATTATATTATTCATTTAAAAATACCTTAATATTAATCCCTTAAATGATTCCAATTTCAATTGAATCGTTTCAATTTATAATATAATGTCTTGTTTGCTTTTTTTTTTTTTTTTAACACCAAATAAACCATCATTAAATATATTCCTGTTATGGTCAACAGTGTAGTTCAAACTAAAATAAAATAAAATTAAAAATTTTTTTTACAAATATCCACCAAATATTTAAAATTTTCCCACACATGTATACATTTTATACAAAGCTTTCATTTTTAACAATAACAATTCTTTTCGAATTTATCGTTTTGTCAAAAATGAATGCTTTGATGTTTATACAATTATTCTATCGAATTGTTTTTTTTTTTTTTTTTTGAAAAAAAATTCTACAAATTGTTTTTTTCTTTTTTTTTAGTAAAAAAATTTTGCGTTAATTAAATGTATTTATTATTATTTAAATCAAATTAAAAGAAATTTCTTTTATATTCAGCATTATAATGAGGTCAACAATACTTAATGTCCCACTTTAATGCTTGTGTTTATATTTGTTCTAGTTGAATTCGAATAAATAAATAAAATATCACTTGTATTCTACATGTAGAGTTTGTTTAAATAATTTGTACAAAAAAATCATTTTAATTAAAATAAAAAATTTCATTTCAATGTGTTTTTGCCCACATATAAACATGTAAACAAAATTAAGCTTAAATTACTTGTTTATGTATCGAGTTTTTTTAAAAAATAATTTCCCATAAAGTTATTTATTATTAATGTTTGTTTACTTATATTACTGTATTGCAGGAGAAATAGAGAGGTGTCTCAAAAAAGTTACTGAAGGGGTAGAGGTATTTGAAGATACCTGGGAAAAAGTAAGAAATGCAGCTAATAGCAACCAGAAAGAAAAG